AGAGATAGTTTCCTACCTATAGAATTGTTAAACGATTCTACGGAATTGTTTTCAACATCTTCACAATATGGTCCAAGCTTGTAAAATGCCCTACACCAAGTCTTCGGCTTTGTTCTCATCAAATCAGCATAGACAGCATTGTCAAAGAGTTCTATCTTCCTCAAGTTTTCTCTGAATTCAGGTTTGTTGTAACTCCAAGCTAGATTCCAAATCAAGACCTCAAATTTGAGGTTTGCAGTTTTTATTTGTATTTTAGTCATCACAATTATATATTTCATAAATAATCATTTTATTTTTTTATGTTGATCAGTTTAATCCAAACAATTTTATATCTCGCATATATTTTATATTCATTTGTATAAATTCTATATTTGCATATAAAATAAAATTAAAAATACTAATATAAAAGAAATATTACAGATAAAAAAATAAAGAAACTCATTTAACACTTCAAAAAAGCATTGATTGATCATATTTTGAGAGCATTATGAAATAGTTTTGTTGAATAATTTGGTGTAATGTAATAATTTAAAATTTAGTTTGTGTATTTTAATTATTATGTTTATGTACTTTATCTAATAATGTAATGTTTTGTTTTATTATAAAGTCTATAATATAAATTTAGTTAATGATATGTTTCTTTGTTATTTATAAAGTTATATAATTTTAATTAATAATAATTAAAATTAAAGACTATGCAATATTTTAAATTTGTGAGATTAGATTTGAGGTTTTGCCTTTAGAGACAAACATCATCAAACTTGAAGTTGTATTTGGAGATGTCCTAAACCGGATTTAGACCAGATTAAGACTGATTGCAATTATGAGCCGAACACAACCAATCTTCTTCTTCTTCTTTTTTCCACCATCTTATATACCCATAATCCTCATAATTTTGTGATTTTATCATCTGGATTTTCTATTTTAATTTATCTCATCTTCACTTCAAATTTTATTCTAAAATTCTCTCCAAGAAATGATGGTTCATCGATGACAATCTCCAAGAAATGATGTTTTTAATGATGATTCATTTGTATATGAAATATGGGAAGAAGAGAGATCTCTTCAAATGATTAACAGTAGAAAAAGACGAGAAGACAAGGAGGTAAGCTTTTATGATGCGAGTTCATGAAATGACATTCTCATCTCCATTTCCTACGTGTCTAATTAATTTATTCTTGTGTTGTTATGCAGCTGAAGGGCAGAGCCTGGCAGTATCATGGGACGTGGGAAGAAGTATATAAAAGCGCAAAAAGGGCAGATCGAAGTAAGAATGATCTACATGAGAGGGACGAAGGTGAGTTGCTAAGAACGGGTCACCCTTTATGCATATATGAACCTTATTTTGGTGAAGCAACCTGGTCGTTTCTACATCAATATCCCCTCTATCGTGGTGTCGGCCTGGTGAGTTCCCATGTGCAATATATACTGTTGTTGCAAGGATACAAAAGAGGGAAATATTTCTAGACTGATGTGAGTGCATCATATTGCAGTCAGTTAAAGGACGGAAACCTAGGATGGATAAATATCGATGCATCTTCACGTCTTTCGCTTTTCAACAATCAGTACTATCGCGATGCATTTGGCGACTTTGGAGCACTTTTTGCAATTCAAACAAGATTAGCCGTTTACACAAAAATTCGTGGATTGGGTTTCAGTCCTAGAGAGCGACTGCCAGAAAGGTAAGTATCTTTTGTGCATAAAATAATCTTTCATCATTGCTATAATAGAAATGTGTATCGAGTAATAATATTTACTTGTGATGTAATTCGGGACCCTTAAACAGGAATCTCTATCCAAGATTGCTGAGGACGCATTACTTAATGCTATACAAACACGGAAACACGGAGATGCCTTATAATTTTTGGGTTCACATGGACAAAGATCGGAGACTCTCTCTGAAGAAACCCTTTTGGTCGCTCTGTGATGTCATAAATGTTGGGAACTGCAGGTAAGACACTACATATATCTTAAAACATAGTTTCGATAACAATGTTTGAGGCTTTTTGCTCGTACTGTTTGCAATTTATGGGCTTGGGTCAAGGTTTGCTTTCGACGAAACTTTGAAAAAAATGTACAGTATCAAGATTTTGGACTCACTGCAACCAATGCCCGAGGACGGATACGTGGTCTGTGATACAGAGCTGGGTACCGACAACAAGATCCTTCTTAGAGTTTCTCATGTTCTCAAGGTGTTTGCTTGTTATTGACTGTCTCAGTCTGATCCTAATTGGAAAAAAAAAAAAAGTACTTAGAGGGTGTGAGTCTCTTGTTTGTGGGATTCATTGGATGGACAGATCTATGAAGAACATCATCGAACAAACCGTTGCTATCTGAGTGTAACTAAAGTAAGAAATCCACTCCTTCTTCTTCCAAAGTTGAGATAGGTTTAAGATTCTAATTCAGATTAATGCCTTTGGGTTTGGATTTGAGTAATGTGGATACAGAGTGAGTCTCCTCATCTTTTTTGATGTTTAAGAGTGTTTTTTTGTGATTGGTTTTAAGTATCTGATTTTGGGTTTTCTTTTTGACAAAACTTATAATGTGTTAGATTAGCCATGATATTGATGAGGGTCCTCGGCTTAAAGTGGTGAAGAAAGAATGGTTTGAGGGCAAGGATTGTCTTGACATTGGCTGCAATAGCAGGATTATGACTATCCATATTGGTAAGCTTCTTATACATTTGCTAAACACATTTTTTGAAGAACACCAAAAAATCCTTTCTTGGTACAAGAATCTAATGCCCCTATTATATTTGTAGATGTGGCCCTTTGTGAGTATTTGTATAGTTGTATGGTTTCTACTGATTTGATTTCTTTATGAGAATGCTATGTCAAAGTGGGATTGGACTTTCACTGTCTTGGATATGTCTTTGTTAACATCTTGCTTTTCTTTTTCTTCAGCTAAAAAGTTTAGTTGTCGGAGCATTTTTGGAGTGGATATTGATTCAAGTAAGCACTATTGGTTGTCGTAATATCTTCCAAGATTTTTCTTTTTCATATAGGACATAGATTAAACTGTTAGCTACATACGTTATCATTCAAGTCTGGAGAAAATGTTTAGTTTGATTTAATCTAGTATCTCATATTAAGTCTTAACTCAAGTGAAACACAGAACAATAGATACTTTAATCCAGATATGTATTTTGGAAGCTTTCGTAAGTTTTATCTTTCTGAAGTAATTGTTTCCTGTGCATTGAACTAGATTTCCTTTGGCTGAAGGTCGCATTGAGGATGCTCACTAACATCGTAAGAAGTTTGTGAGAATGCAGAATTCTGATAGGCCAAATGAAAAGAAATATAGCTCATAGGGTTTGAAGGAGGAATCTGTATCCCTTTCCAATGGTGTGACAAAGTCAGACAACCAAGAAACTAAAAACCTGTCTCAGATTGTCTCGTTTCAGAAAGAGAATTTTGTTCAAACTCAAAAATTTGACGACAATCGTTATGATACAATTCTATGGTAAATTTCTTTTTATTTTTGCCTGTTCTTTCACTCTGTAAGTTTGGTTTCTTCTTCTTGGAGAGAATTGGCAACAATTAAGAACGTTACCGATTTTTTTGGTAATGCTCATACCACAAAATACGTATGAAACTCAACTACTGTAATTTAGAAAATATTTGCCTGATGTTTTTGGCTAAAGAATCTTATGTCACTAAGCCTTTTGATCTCACTGTTTCCTAAAGGAGGTCTCATCTTTAGTTGAAATCCAAATACAAACAGTTTTATTGATGACATGTTTGCTCTTTGATGCAGTTTGAGTGTGACAAAATGGGTTCATTTGAATTGGGGTGACGACAGTTTGATAACCTTGTTTTCAGAGATTTGGCGTCTTTTTAACCCAGTAGCTACATTGTACTTGAATGTGTCCATTTTCTCTTCTCATATGCGCAGCAATTGACTGTTGTCTTTGCTTTTAAGGATGGTATTTTTGTAATGGAACTTCAGCCTTGGAAATCTTATGAAAACAATCGTTGTGTTTCAGAGGTGTGTAGAACACAAAGTTTCTTTCTGATTGCACAAGTTAGCTATACATATAAAGAGTTTTAATCTGTGTTTGTCTTCTGTAATTTGCAGACAACTGCAATGAATTACCGAAATATTGTTTTACGTCTAGAGTATTTCCAAAAAATTCTTCTTGATAAGGTACCCTTTCTACTCTATTTACTTCCTTACTTTGCCTATACTCTTACCTGATCTATAAAATATGCTATGCAAGTAGTGTTGGCTTCTTTTACATCAAGCTTGTCTGACTCAAGCAAAGGGTTTGATATACAAATCCTTGCATTCCAGAAATGAACTTTAACAACTAGAAGCGTAAATGAAGAAGAATTTGAGTTTTTGAAAAGCCTTGTAAAAAATCAAACTAATTTTGGGATTACACACAAGATGTGAAGAAACAACTACAAGTCGCTTCATATCTGTAAAAGTCCTCAAGTATAAAAGGATTCTAATTGTTTTACTTTTCTTTTAATGGTTGTTGTGGATTGTGGCTTGATCTCTGGGTGTAGAGATTCAAGGGAGATTGCTTTCAAAATTATACGCTTTGGTGGTGTATCTTTCGATTTCATATCAATAAAGGTTTTTCTTGATCTTTTTTTCAGCAAATCTATCGTTTACAGAATCAATCAAACGTTAGAGGAAATATAACAACAACAAAATAAAGTATCTCAAGTGATAAGGTTTTAAGCAGATATAATCTTGAAAGGGCTGGTGACTGTCTTCTTCTTACTTCATTCTTCATAGTAAGGTCCTTTTCCAGATAACAAATCTGGGACTCGCCATGCCGCCGAGAATCCCTCAGATGCTATTGTAGACGTTTCGGGCTGAGCGAGCATGATTCTTATGTTCTTCCCTTTGAGATATATCATACTCTTTTTGAATTCTGGATCACCCGTTATCAAGAGAAAAACTGAGGGAAAAGGGCGAGGCTTTCTGATGAGGTTGTGACGAGCCTTGCCATAGATATGTCTCATGAGCATGAGATCAGCAGCCTCCGGTTTAGCTAGATGAAGTTTCATATCAATATTCATTTTTCCCAAACCCGATCTAGCCAACTCATTACATTGCTTGCACACGCAATATCGTTCTGGAGCATAGCAGAACTTCATAAAGCGTGGCATGTCATCATTAGAAAATGGAGATTTTAACCCATAGAAGCTAATATAATCCATAACGTAATCTTCATTAAGACCCTTCTGAGATTTGTTTAGAGCTTTGTCAATCTGCTTTGTCATATGGTAGTCCGTTGGTGCTGGATTTCTGTTGAGATCCCAAAGCACCTCCACTCTAACTGGAGAGGGAGAGAGATTACGTGATTGCATCGACATGGTTTTTAGGAAATGCAGCGAACAGAAGAGGATGATGACGACAATGCCGATTAATCAGGTTTATCGACAAAACGATAAATCAGCCACCTTGAAAATTAATCAGCCGCTTAGTCGCTGATCAGTCCAACTGCCGCAATTTTGTATTCGAATAATTAATTTTAAACTGACTAAAACCGATTTCTTATCGGGCCTATTTTCAAGCCCAATTGGAGTGACCGAACACAGACTTCGATCTTTGACCCGCGACCTAAGCGAGAACGTTTCAATTGAAGCACAGATGAAGACTCTTATTTATAGTGCTGCTTCCCCTTCTCAACTATCCAAGTTTGTCGATGTGGGACAAACTAAAAGACCAAGCTTTTAAAAATATTGTCATGAGTATTTATGGGTTTGAGTTAAATATGGATCCTTAAGACACTAATATATCTTTTAGATCTATCATTATGCACATATTTGTACAAACTTTATTTCATATATGTTTAATATAATAAAATTAATATTAAAAAAAATAATAATAATTAAATTTTATTATTAATAAAAGTTGAAAGTAAA